TTGCTATGCAGTTCAGGATGGCCTTGAACTCACTGTTGTAGTCCAGGCTGGCCTTGACCTGTGGAGGTGTGTACCACCACACTCAGCCAGTCCTTAAGATTAGTTTTTAATACTAAAGCTGACATATAATATCTACATAACAGAAACCTTAAGTTCCAAAAAGTGTAAGTTAACAAGTGTGGCCCCACATGGTGCAAACCTGTAATCCCAGCACTCAGGAGGCTGAGGCAGGAGGATTCCTGCAAGTTCAAGGCCCACCTGGGCTACATATTGAGACTCTGTCTCAAAAACCCAAAATAAATAAAAATAAGTTAACAAATGTGCTATAAAGTAAAACTTAATTATAGTTATTTACTTGGAAATCAGGCTGAGAAAAAAGTATAACCAATGAGGGAATGAATCTCAGCTTCACCATTTTTAATGTTAATCATTTAAAATTTCTTGGTAATCTAGAAGTCAGAAGCCCTGGTTCAGGTGATACATCTGAGCTTATACGTGCAGCTTATCTCTAAGGGACCTTAGGTTCTGAAATTCTCCTTGATAGATGATTCTGGGATTGGCAAACATTTATTCAGGGCCTTCCCATCTAGATTGGGGGTTTGCAGCCAGTCTGCGTGGTAGAAGGCAGACGCAAGGAGAAGGTCCTCAAAGGGCCAGTAAATGTTCTGGAGTCACAGGCCAAATGGGCTCTCTACTACTTGCCTGCCCAAAGGCACCCATAGACTATAAGCCAGTGTGCATGGCTGTGTGCTAATAAAACTTTATGAAAACAGGTGGTTCTTGAAACAACACTGAGAGGGAAAACTAATAGTGGTCTGGAGTGTAAAGTCCTAAACTAGCCTGGCTCAGCAGCCATCAGAAGGGGCTGCAAGGACGGTGAAGTGTGAGTTCCTAAGGGCTTTTCCTTGCTGCTGAGAGTGACCACGGTGACAGCAGACAAGAAGTGAGGTCAGATGACACCAGGTCACCAGCAAGTGGAGCCCCTCTTGGATCCGGTCTGCTTCATCAGCCTTTTTCTGGACCAGAAGCTTCTCAGGGACTTGTTCTTGGTATCGTCTAAGGATGTCGGCTTAGAATGGTCTCCCGTCAGTGGTCAGTGGTAGCACGCTACTCATGGCCCCCAGTAAGTGTCCCCTCTGGCTCTGCCCTCACTCTGTCCCCTGCACGTCCCCAGCAGCCAAGCGGGCTTCGAAAACCCTAACTCAGATATGTCGGGCTTTGCCTGAAGCTGTCACCAGCTTCTGACATCAGAATGGACTCAAATTCAAGCTGGGCATGGTGCTGCACACGTGTAATCCCAGCACTTGGGAGGCTGAGGCAGGAGGATCCCTGGGGGTTTGAGGCCAGCCTGATTTATCAGCAAGACCCTGTCTCAATTTAAAAAAAGAATCCCCAGATTCTGTTCTGTCCCCTGCCAGCCCCACACAACCCGCCCTGTCCCTACACTGATCTCCTCTCGGGTCTCACTCCCTCTGCCCACTCCTGGAAGATGCCGGCCATGTCCCCTGATAGGTGGTTGCCAGGCTGCGGGCGGATGGAAGGTGGACAGGAGGCAAGCACAGGGCGGCCAGGGATACGCACCTGGCCAGTAGGTGAGAAGGCCAGACTCCACAGGCACTGGGGAGGCCGAGTAGAAGGATCGGAAGTTGAAGCCCAGCCTGAGCGTTAGCAGCCTACTGAGACCCTGTCTCAGCATTTTTAAAAACAATTTTAAGTTCTGGGATGTAGATCAGTGCGAGGGCCCTGGGTTCAATCCCCAGTACTGCAAAACAAAAACATCAGTGGGCTACGTCGCGAGTCCCCGCAGAGAGAGCGTCTCGGTGGGCGCCTCCGCCGCCAGGGGGCGCGGTGGAGCACGAGGCGGGGAACACCGGTCCAGCCCCGCCTTTCGCCTTCCGGACGCGCAAAGCCGTCACCCAAAGGTCCCGAGCGGCTCCCCGTGTGGATTGCGAGTGGCTGCCGGGCCTGGGCGCAGCCGGCCGTTCCTCCGCGCGGGGCGGAAGCCGGGGTGCGAGTCGGGGAGCCTGGCTGGTCACACGCCTGCGAACCGGGGTTGGAGGGGGCGGAGCCTGGACCCTGACACCCCGTACCCCCCCCCGCTTCCCCGTGGGCCCCCCCCCAGGGGCCCTTTTTCTCTCTTTCAGCCGAGATCGAGGGACTAAGTGCAATACTCGTCCGTATATACATTTGTAAAATAAATACAATATCTTTTTTTCTCTGCAGTTTTTGTTCTCTTTTTTTCTGATTTGTGTTGAGAGTCACACAACACAGATGTCCCCTCTAGCACCCACTCTGCCTCCTCTGTGGCTGGGATGGCTGTGGGCACTGATCACACAGTATCTGCCTTTGTGATTGACTTCTTCCCTTCGCTCAGATCCTGTCCTCGTGTCCCTGCTGTGGCACCAGAGTTCTCTTCCTTTTCCGGGCTGAAAAATATTCCGCGGTGAGGATGTAGCACGTCTTGTTACCTGCTTGCTGCCACTCCTATAAGGCTGTGTGCCATGGGCCCTGCTGCCCCTTCCCAGTAAAGGAGCCCGGGGAGCCAGGCCTGCAGGAGTCAGACATGGCAGTGTGGCCCTGCAGCCCACCAGGTGGGCCCCTGACTACACTGACCACCTTGGCTGCCGTGTGGGCAGCCCTGGCTGGCAGCTCAGCTGGCCCTCCACACGTGGTCAGGCTTACAGACAGCCTGAGTGTGTGTCCCAAGTGCTGCCCAGTCCCTGGGGACACTTTGTGTCTGTTTTCTGTTTGTTTTCTTAGACAGGGTCTCACTGTGCAGCCCGGGCTGGCCTCCATCTCCAGGAGGTCCTCCTGCCTGGGCCTCCCAAATGCTGAGGTCAGAGGTGAGCACCCGCATGCCCGGCTCCCAGCGGCCCTGGCATCTTACCCCACACTTGCTTCTGCGCTGCTGGGAATGGACCCCAGGGCTCGAAGGCAGGGCCAGTGCGCCAGCCCTGAGCTGCACCCTGAAGCCCTCGAGGTCCTGGTGTTGTGACAGGGGCACCCTGATGGCCATGAGGTGGGGAGCAGAGGCTTCCCGGGCACAAGGAAGACGAGATGGTGGAGCAAATAAGACGGGTGGAAAGCACAGCAGCTGGGCGCGGTGGCGCACACGTGAGAGCCCAGCACTGGAGAGGCTGAGGCAGGAGGATCGCCATGGTTTGAGACCAGCTGGAACTACATTGTGACTACATAATGCTACCCTGTCTCCACGTGCACACACGCACACGCACGCACATGAGCTACTCTGCCTCTTGTGTCCCTTCCACCCTCCACCCACCCTGCCTTTCTCCAGAGGCCGCCTCAGTGTCCCTGGCTGTTCCCGCGGGAGACCCTGGGCGGCCAGGGGTCTCGGAGCCCAGCTTCCAGCCAGGGCTGGGGCCCAGCTCAGAGCTCGGTGGCCTCAGGGACGGGTGTCACCCCGGCCCGGGGCACAGGAATAAGGCTCCCTCCGGGCAAGATGAGCCTGCCCGGAGCTCACCCCCGGCTGCGGGAGGCCAGCCGGAGGTCACGGCCCGGCCCCTCCCTTGGGCGGCCCGGGCGCGGGCTCACCGGGAAGCGGCTCCAAACCACCTGACGTTGCGCGCGGGGCTCACGCTGCATCCCTGAGGGGACAGGGAGCCGTGACAGCCGGGGCCGCCCGAGGTTGCGCGTCCCAGGAGGGGCGGGGCCCCTTGGTCCCGCAGTGCCCCGTGGTCCCGCCCGCAGCCACC